AAAGGAATGTGTTATTCAACCAGAATAGATTGTACTAAAAAGAGTAGTAATTGAACGTATTTAGACAGAATTACAAAAAAGGGGCGAAAATCTCATAGGTTAAATTCTATTAAATTCTAAGAAAATATGCCAGAATTTCATTTATGATTTTCAATAGGTGTGCCTGTTAAAAATAAAAAATGTACCTTGTTCAAGATGCCTCTTTTGCAACTATTATCAATTCAATAATGAAGGATGGAGATCAAAAGTCTGAAGTATAATTTACAAAATATGAGTACTATTCCCTCCGTCCCTAAAAGAATTGTCAAGTTTGACCGGCACGTAGAATAATAAAATAAAAAGTGTGTGGTAGAGATTTGTGCAGAGGAGAGATAAATAACAAGAACCACAAATTGATTGATTAAAAGGAGAAGTTGCAAAGTTTTTGGGACAACCAAAAAAGGAAAGTTGGCAAAGTTATAAGGGACGAAGGGAGTATGTTTTTATATAAACAGAACTAAATTACAGTATCAAGTATTTTGTGGTATAATGGGATCACTGTGACACTCTCATGGAGGAGATCACATGTTCGAATCAGATCAAGATGTTAGCCTTAACATAGAACAAATACTATAATAAGTTCGAAGCTTTGCAACAAAAAATTAAGTAAATTAGTGTTAGTTTTGAAATTGTATTGTCAGATTTTGACATTGTCTTACAATAATATGGCATCATTAATGCCATAGCTAGCCGTATGTTTAAGCATGATGATAATTACTCTAACTTTGTGCATTATTTAACATTATTTAACTCTAACTTTGTGCATTTGTCGGATCAAAAATCAAACTTACAAGAACAATATATACATACAAACATAGACAGTTACATAAAAACTTATGGGAGGGAGTGACTACCCTCTGCCACTCCTCACTCTGTCATTGACTCAAAAGGCAGACACGTGAAGCAAAAACTAGGATCTTTTGGGTCATTTTAAATCCATTTGGGTGAATGAAAAAAAAACCAATATTTTAGTCTATTGATTCTTATTGAGTAGTTATTTCTTGTGCATTTTGTAAGTAAAGATGAGGGAAAAGCATGTTTAACCATTCGAGCAGATATTCCCACAGTTCAATCCATCTAGACCACAGGCAACAAAGTATATATTCAAACTTTTTGAGCATGTTTTTCATGAAGTGGATAGTCTGTGCACTCAATCATGTATATGTTGAGTGTGGCGGTGATGCACATGTTTTTCCCTTAAAGACTTCCGTTGTATTCTAAATATGTTTAATAATAAAGATGGTTTCATTTAAAAATGTGATTTTATTTGGGTGGTACCGTTTACGCATATCCTCTTCTGTCTCCCATGTTGCATTCTCGGTCAAATGGTTTGACCAAAGTACTTTTACCATCTTAATGGTCTTTTTCCTCGTCTCTCGGATCTTAGTATCAAGGATCTGTACGGGTTTTTCTTCATAGCATAGTGTTTCATCCATTTCAATCACCTAATAATATAAGGGTTAGCTTATACTATTTTCAATTTACTTTCGTTCATGTTAAGTTTATGGTCTCTTACCTCCGGATTGATGATATGTGACTCATCTCGAACGTACTTCATTAATTGTGATACGTGAAAGACGTTATGTACCTAGCACAAGTCTGTATGTTAAGGATGAATTCTAATCGTTAAAAAGTATCTGATTTTAATCATTTGTTACCTTATCCAACTCTGTGGGTAGAGCTAATCGATATGCCACGTTTCCCACCTTCTCTAGGATGTCGTAAGGTCCGATGAACCTCGGGCTTAGTTTCCCTTTCTTCCCGAACCTCATTACTCCCCTTGTAGGTGAGACTTTGAGTAGAACTTTCTCCCCTATCTCGAATTCAGCTGGCTTCCTCCCAAGATCGGCATATGATTTTTGTCGGTCTTGGGCAGCCTTCATCCTCTCTTGGATGACTTTGACTTTCTCTATGGTATCGTGCAAGTATTGTGGTCCTAGAACCACCTGATCGACAATGTCACCTCAATATAAGGGACTTCTACACTTTTGACCATATAGAGCTTCGTACGGGGCCATTCCGATGCTAGCATGGTAACTGTTATTGTACGAAAACTCTATTAAGTCTAGGTGTTCATCCCATGATCCTTGCAATTCAAGAACACATGTCCTCAACATGTCTTCTAATGTTTGGATCGTTCTTTCGGTCTGCCCATCCGTGGTTGGATGAAAAGCAGTACTTAACTTCAATTTTGTCCCCATAGCCGTTTGTAATTCCTTCCAGAATTGAGATAAGAATCGTGAATCTCGATCTGATACGATGTCTTGAGGTACTCCGTGGTGTTTGACCACGTGTTTGACATAGGCTTTGGCCAGCTTGCCCATGCTCCAAGTTTCATTCATAGTTGTGGAGCAGATATTCCCACAGTTGATCAAATTTTTTGAGCATGTTTTTCATGAAGTCTAGTTTATGCTCATTAAATTACAACTTAAATTTTAATCGAAAAGGCAGTTAAATAAATTACTTAAGAACACTACGCTTTATATATGAATGAAACTTGGTGGGTATAAACTAGACTTGATAAAAATATGCTAAAAAAATTTCATCGAAAAATTCCACTAGAAAGACCCTCAAACGGGCTCGGTCGGACAGCTATCCTTGTCAGGCCGGTCTGACATGAAGATTCATTTTCAAGCTAGTAAAACTTTAATTTCACTAGTTTGAATTGTATTGAAAAAATAACAATCAAATTAAAATCGAATTATTTAGATTAGTTCAGTGTGGCGTTATAAATTTTAAAATATTAGTAAAGATTTATTGCATTTTTTGAATTATTTAGATTTTTCGGTTTGATTTAATCCAATTCAGTTTTGAAAAATTATATTGAAATTGAATCACATACCATCTGATTTTGGTTCGGCCAAACTTTGTTAATTAAATTCATAAAATCTTAATGCATTAATTAAATAGAAACACTTAGATGAAACCGAGCCTAACAATTTGTTCTCTGCTTAAAACGGACTTACCCACGACGCAAGTAGCAATTGTCTCACGGGATAAAACGGTTTCTATGTTCCTGAAGGACACCGACGAACTCAAAAATGCAACGTAGTATTTTTGTAGAGGGCTAGTGAACGAAGAAGATAGTAGACTATTATGAAGATTTTCAGATTGATAGAAATGCAGGCAGTCATGAGTATATAGAGCTCTGGCCAGGAGACTCTACACTCAAAAAACACCTTAGCTTTAGAAAGAAAGATCGTGATCCTTCATCTAAAAGTCAAGAGGTTGTGTGTCTATTGCCAAACCTTATCTGAAATTGGGAACAAAAATATAAATATTATCTTTAAGTCATAATCGGGAACAATTTCTCATTCATCACAAAATGGTTTTATACAAATAATATGTGTAAACGTTCATCTCTCGGAGTACAATATGTTAGGACTTGGTCCTACTAAAATAGAGACATGAGTCCCTTAAATTTTTTACTCCAAAATGAGCAAAATATTAATTTATAAAACCTTTTTTTAACAAACTTAACCAGAATGCTAACCTCTAAACTAATACCCCATTTCCAAAATTATTTTTTTCCTTATATTTTACATTCTTTTTTATATTTTTTCCTCAAAGTTCTATTTAACTCTAAATTTATCTAAATGAAATAAATTTAACAAAATTAGAAATCTCAATATAAAGTCCAAACTTATTTTTTCATATCGAAAATTATAACATTTCAAAATGATCATTTATAAATATATTACCACATAATCTACTTTTGTTACCAAATAATTACTCCCCACCTCAAATAATCACGTTTGGGGTCGCGTGATTTAAATTAAACTATCAATATATGTTTAAGTAAATTGACTAGAAAAAATTATAAAAAACGTATATTGAAACTTTGTAATGAACCAAACTTAAGAATGTTTTTCATACTATTAAAATTACTACTCCACATATACAATGTAGCTAAACTAAAGTACTTGGATAGTGAAAGGATCACACTGTCAGAACTAGTAAGGAAATAATGTAGTAGCATGTAGTAGCATGTTAGTGTTTAAATTAGTGACCAGTTAAATAGTTCTCGATTTTCTTTTTTGGCCGTCCCAAAAAATAGTTTCCATTTTCCTTTTTGGAAAGTTTTGTGCGGTTCACATTCGCTTACCTTTTTCTTAATCAAACACACTTATACATTTCCACTATATTTCCACTTTCTTAAACTTCGATCCAAGTCAATTCGAAACTATTTTATGGGACGGAGGGAGTATATATCTACTTCCACAATGAAGGGGATGCATCAAAAACTTATCTAAACCAATACACTGTTTTCATATTGACACAATTCATCTTTGCGTTTCTTGACACTAATGGAATTGGTGATATCTCGATAATATGACTTTTGATTAGCTAGGAGGAGAAGATTTGATAGGAGAAAATTCGGTAAATGAGAGTAAAACATAGATAAATTAGACAATGGATAACATCATTACTTTCTTCCTAAAATAGAACTCATTAACTTCTAATCGGGGAAGCTATTTACTTTAATAGAACCAAACCAGTCTAACTTTGGGAATGCAACATAGTTACTCCTGTTAATATATTTTCTCTATGTTTTATGCCTATTTGGAGTAATTTCTCATACAAGCTTATTATCTATGTTTATGAATTCCAAAATTAGAGGAGGGGCAAAATATAGTTGGACAAAAAAACACATTTTGAGCTACATATTATTTAAACCACTTGAAGCAAAAGTGGATAAGTATATATATATATATATATATATATATATATATATATATATGAAAGATTGCCATATCCACTTGGAAGTATAATCAGACAGAGACAAATACATACATAATATATATAGCATATAACTATATACCATATATAATTGGGGTCATATCAATTAAGCTTATATGACACAACAGTTGGCCTAGCTCATAACTGATCAAAAGAGAGAAATTAAAGAGGAAGGAGGAAGAAGAGATGATGAGAAGAAGGGTGAAAAGGTAAATACATACCTGGCGCTAGCAAATTCATAGAGCTTTCCTCTGGGAGAGAAGACAATGAGTGCCACTTCAGCATCACACAGCACAGAGAGCTCAAACGCTTTCTTCAGCAGACCATTTCTCCTCTTCGAGAATGTCACCTGCCTGCTCGTCGCATTCTCAATCCGCCGGAGCTGCGTTTTCCCCCTCACCATATATACCCCAGATCTGCCCTCCGATTACTATCTCCGGCCGCCCCTACATAACCCCAATCTTTTAATTTTCCCGCGGTTAAAACTGATAATATGAACTAATAAAGTGTTATATTCAGAGCATCGCAATCATAACAATGACAATTAGCTTATTGAGCTAAGTAGCCTGTTTTGGGCGATTCTGAACACCCTTTTGGCTGAAAATGGAAGATTTGACTCGATCGGGCCATTAAAAACATCCCTGATAAGTGTGTTTGAAGCAGAGCAAAAAAGGAAAGAGATATTTCCATAAAGGATAAGAGAGGAGTGATAGTTTTGGAAGATAACCTAATTCGTTGCTTCTTTTGGAAAGCCCACGAACCCAGCGGAAAAGCATCAGATGATATGTAAAAGGAAAAGAAAGGAAAGAAGGAAAGAGAGAAAGAAACATGTGGAGAGAGAGTTTGAATGACATGTAGGGCTACATGCCCTGGCTGACCAATGAGGGATCGAAAACGCATCAGGGTTACTAAATACGTAAATTTGGCAGACTTTTCTTTGTATGCTATTTCAGTCACAAACATCATTATTAACCGGTACTTCTCCCTCATCATATCTTACCCCGTTTTTTAAAGCTAATTCTACGGTTCAAATACTTTAATCCAATATTGTCAATTTTGGTATGTAGATGTTACATTCAAAAAAAACTTTCTTTGAGTGAGGTGTACATAAAGTGTCCGTTTGGGTGATGATTCCGTTTTTTCAGCTTATTAAGTTTATCAGCCCAACTTTTCATTAAACACGTAATTTTGGACTTCGCGCGTTGATTTGTGTAATAATAAGAAAATGTAAGGTTGAATTAACTTTTCTAACTGTATTGGATGAAGTTATTGTAGAAGATCGTTTTAGCTATTTTTTATAACTTTCTTTACTTATGTAGTAGGAGTAATTGATAAAATATATTTTCAATATTTTTTCCATAAATCAACAGAATCGTTCGATGCAACCATTTCAACCATAACTTCATAAGTTTCAGCAGAATCAGCCAGTGCAGCCGATTTGTGTATTACCAAACATGCTAAAAAAAAGTAAAAATTGTATAGTTGAAGTTTGGCCGTCCGAGGATAGATAAACAATTACTCCAAGTATAGGAGTAGATATTAGAACATGATTAAATGATGAAATAATTATATGCATCATCAAATATATGGATTATAAATACTATAGCCTCACTTATTAATTATTAGTGGAATGTCGCAATATCTGTCTTTTTTTAATTCTCTTTTTGAACGAAAGTTAAAAAAGTTACTCCCATTGTCTTTTGAAATATTGCCAAAATTAACTGACACGTAGAATAATAAATTCAAAATTGTGTGGCTAAAGTTTGTTCAGGAGAAACAGATTCAACAAGAACCATAAATTATGTATTTGAAAGTGAAAGAGACAAAGTTAGTAGCCAAAAAAAAAATTGTCAAAATTATAAGAGACGGAGAGTATATATAATTCACAAAATGTACGGTATAAAGGGGTACACCCCCATCAGCTTTGTACCTCAAAGAAGTATAACTAAACAACCACTAACTAACCACCCTAACACCAGTACACCACCAAAACAACCAATCACACATATCTAAGCTAAGTAGCTTCAAAAAAAGTAAAAAATGATGCTCCCTTTGTCCCTTAATTATTGATCCATCCATAACATTCATATTTTTCCATTTCCTTTTTCCAATCATAACATTCATATATTCACATTTCTAAATATTGTCATCATATCCTCAATAGTTTTGGAAATAATACATTATTACTACAACTCTTTTGAATTTATCCTTCATTGTAACGCACTATTTCATTTTTTCTCATCATACTCTCAATAATTTATATATTTTCTATCACTATTCATAAGTCCACCTACTTTTAAATGGAAGATATGAATGTTACGGAGGTAGTAATAAAATATATTTCAAATATATTTATTTCGTAATTTAACTGTTTTAGCTTTGATGTGAGAAATTTGAGTAGAGTCAACAAATTCAGAGCTTGTTTGATAACATTGAATCAACTGAATCGGTTAGATATGTTGAAATTAATGAAATGCATGCTGAAACGGCTAAATTGACTGACTCTTCTGAATGATGGGAAATTATATTTAAAATATATTTTATTAATAGATTAGAAAAAATAATGCAAAAAATAACTAAAATAATCTTCTATAGCAAAATCAACAAGAAAAATGTAACTCCAACGTTACTTATTTTGATATTAAACAATTGTGAAAATTAAGGTTGGCAAATGACTCAAAAATTACCACTACCTTTAAAAATTCATATAGCCAATATAATGTGCTCCTACTGTGATCTCGACGGGCTTCACAATTTTAAAGATCTTTTGCATCTAACACGTGATAGATTGTGTGGGCTGCTTAGTAGCCACATCTAGATACTCGATCAAAAAACTGACACGAGAATATCTAGCTGGGAATCTTTTATCGAACTCACAAGGCCGGATATATGACCACAAACGGAACACTCGATTAAGATCGTTTGTAATGTCGGAGGCAGAGCTGTTTCTTAGGATGTGCAATAGGTGTTTTGCATCGGGGCTCACTCATGTAGGGGCCTCCAAAACTTTAGAATGTAATAATGTCTTCGGTCCCGAATCAAATTCATACTTTCCTTTAATCAAATTCATACTTTCCTTTTTGGGTAAGTCCAAAATAAACTTCACACTTCTTTTCCCTTCCTTATTTGACAAATTATCTACATCAAAACAGTGCAAAAAAGTGCCAAACAGTGCAAAATAATGTCAAACAGTGCCAAATAGTGTCACAACAATGTACTCTACAGTAAAGTCAAATTTATTTTCTTAATGTGTGTGAAGTCAAACACTTAATTTGTTTTGGGACCGGAGGGAGTATTAGTTATAAGTTTATTTTTATATATGTTATGTATTATTCAAGCTAGATTTCAAAATGTATACTTCCTCCGTTCCCATTTTATCTTCTGTTTCTCATGGACACACAATTTAAGAAAAGGGAATTATTGGATTTTACTTTCCTGTTTTACCCTTTTAAAAAGCAAATTAAAGTACCAAAAGAGATAAAGGCTTGTTCGAGTGTTCTTCAAAACTTCAAAACTTCAAAGGTCAGTTCATCAAACTTTTCTCCTCTTTTTTATATACTTTTCTTCCCTAGGCGTTGATCTAGTGTTAGTCAAAAAACCAACCTTAGATCCAAAGCAGTGCCCTTTAGGGCTCCGTTAGCTGTTAAGATGAAGACCCTGGACGAAGAATACTACCCGTATGATGATGAGGCCTCTGTCAAATCCCTTGACTACCGAGTGGTGGAGGAGTGTTGCGAGGAGATAGATGATTTGAGCTCCTTCAAGTCAGGGGAGCAAGAGGGCGAGGAGAACCAGGACGAGGAGGCCGTCTCGTCTTCTGAAGGTGAGGACGTAGGGGTCTCTAATGCCGTGGACGGAACATCTACGTCGGCTACTATTCCTTGCCCAAAGGCGGTGTCTGTCATTAAGGGGACCGCCCCGAAGAGAAGGCGCCGGTCAGAGAAGGGTCCTGCTTTCTCCTTAGATATCACCAACGTCCGTATCATCAGGCCATAAAGCTGCGCATCCGAGTACCTGGTTGCTTAAATGTACGTGGAACCGTTTGGTAGGGTTAGGGCGCCTAGGCCGACAAACCACTTACTTAATCCACCGTCGGGCTATTTTGGGGTGTATCCCATGAGTTTTGCCAGGGGGCTCATGTTCCCCCTTCATCCGTTCCTTACGGAATATTTGGACATGGTGGAGCTTCCTCCGGCCCTGCTAACCCCAAACAGCTATTCGTTGATCATCGGCTTCCTCCTTCGCTGTGCCGAGTTAGATTTCAAGCCGACAATGGCTCTCTTCATGAACTTGTATCAGATAGGCCAGGGTAGCCACCAGAACTATGTCGACTATGCCAATCTGAAGCAGGTGAAGAATAGGAGGTCCTTCTCTGATCTTCTGACGTCCATCTATGGATGGAAAAGTAAATTCGTCTTCATGTCTCTCGGCGAGGGTGGGACCGAGTTTCCTTCCGTCGGCCACAACGGGAGGTTTAACCCTCCATGATGCGTCGAAGAGTTCAATTTTGGACGCTTAGGTGGCGGCGTTCTTGGAAGGGGGACCGAGGAGCGTGAAGGAGTACATCACGGAGTATAAGATGGCCACCCTCGGCTTCGTGAGATACTTCGTGTATGGGGACGCAGAGGATGACGTCGAAATTTGGCCGAAGATGACTACCACTTTTGAGGAAGCCGATGGCCCGGATTTGGGCATGCCTGCCGAAGCCGGTGGTAATGCCTTCCCAAAATACTTGATCCCAAAAGATCTTTTGTGTAGACTTTGTCATGGATCGCTGATCTATCATGATCAGGGCGAAAGCGAAGGTGGCCGTCGAACAGACCGCAAAGATGCTGCAAAGCAGGACGCAGAGGCCGGAGCACAGCCGAGCGCTGCTCAGACGTCAAAACCACCCACCCAGCCAAAGAAGAAATGACAGGCCGACGAAGGCCAGAAGAAGCTGACTGAGGCCGGCATGCAGCCTGCCAAGAAGTCAAAGAGGGCTTCTCCCTTGGCCGATGCTGACGTCGGGGCCATGACTGTTCGAGCCGGAGATGTTGGGGGCTCCAGTGCTGCTGCCTTGGTGGATTTGACTTCAAACCCTTCGTCCACTGCTATCTCTTAGCCTCCCCCCGTCGGCCAAGATTCCCAGAAGAAGCGATCCAGCAAGGAGATGGTCACGGGGACCTACAAATTGGAGGTTGAGTACCCCGTGAAGGGGGGCATCTTCAATGAGGTTGTTGACGGCCACGACGTGATTTCTCAGGCCGTCCCCATCAAGGATCAGGCCGATCTTGACAAGCTCGGCGACGTCAAGGTTTATGAAGGTGGAATGGACCTCGTCGTCCAAGTAAGTTCCCTGCATACTCTGTTGCTTTCGTCTCTTTCTTGTCACTGTAATTGTCGTCACCGTCCTAACCATTTTGTTTCTGCAGGGGGGCTTTATGTTGATGGAGAGCCACAAGAG